AAACAGTTTGTCACCAAACTCATGGGTTTAGGTCTGGTTTTGTGTAGTTTAAATGCACATTGTTAAAAGGCATTATTTGTGCATTTTAAATACAAAAGTATTCAGAATAGGTTGAGGTTGGTTAGGGTGCAAATGCATGATACTTGCGTTTTGTACATTTACCATCATTTTAATGGGCCTGCGTTATGCATCCAACCACAAACAAAGGGGGAAAGGGGGGGGGAGGCTATCTGAAATCTGCGTCCTGCACTCTGGTTAAACCAATTTTCAGGAGTGTGAAAGCTGTGTCCTGCACTCTGGTTACACCACTTCTCAGGAGTGTGAAAGCTGCGTCCTGCACTCTGGTTACACCACTTCTCAGGAGTGTGAAAGCTGTGTCCTGCACTCTGGTTACACCACTTCTCAGGAGTGTGAAAGCTGCGTCCTGCACTCTGTTTACACCACTTCTCAGGAATATGAAAGCTGCATCCTGCACTCTGGTTACACCACTTCTCAGGAGTATGAAAGCTGCATCCTGCACTCTTGTTACACCACTTCTCAGGAGTATGAAAGCTGCATCCTGCACTCTGGTTACACCACTTCTCAGGAGTATGAAAGCTGCATCCTGCACTCTGTTTACACCACTTCTCAGGAGTGTGAAAGCTGCGTCCTGCACTCTGGTTACACCACTTCTCAGGAACATGAAAGCTGCATCCTGCACTCTGCTTACACCACTTCTCAGGAATATGAAAGCTGCATCCTGCACTCTGGTTACACCACTTCTCAGGAGTATGAAAGCTGTGTCCTGCACTCTGGTTATTCTACTTCTCAGGAACATGAACGCTGCATCCTGCACTCTGGTTACACCGCTTCTCAGGCGTATGAAAGCTGCATCCTGCACTCTGGTTATTCTACTTCTCATGAACATGAAAGCTGCATCCTGCACTCTGGTTACACGCTTCTCAGGCGTATGAAAGCTGCATCCTGCACTCTGGTTATTCTACTTCTCATGAACATGAAAGCTGCATCCTGCACTATGGTTGCAATTTAGGAGATGTGTCATCCACTGTAAACCTTAATTTATTGGGATAAATCAAAGCTGAGAGAAGACCACTGTGGATTATGTTTACCATTTTGGTGAACCATGGGTTTGGGGTGGGCGTAGAAGTAGTAGTTCATTGTAGTAAGTAATAGTAGCAGGTAGTAGTAGTACGGTAGTAATAGTAGTAGCTGTAGAATTTAGAATTGTTTTAGCCATTTAATGCATGTTTTCAGGTAAGTAATATACCCACTCACACCCCCCTCCCTCAACCTCTTTCTACTTATCTACTTAGCATGACAAAATATATACTAATCAATATTTAACCCCCAACACAGAGATGTAGAATGTGAGTTTCATGTCACTCAGAGACAGGCATGTGTGTTTTGGGGGTTGTTTGCAGAAGACTGTAGAATTATTCTATGAAACGTAAAAACACTGACACTTGCAGTACATTGCATGTGCTGAACTTCATTTAATTTTAGCACCCAGCTTGCAAATTCCAGTATACACATAGCCTTCAGTTAATTAATTTTTTCCAAGCCTTTCATTATATCGTAAATGTCATGCCCAAAATACCTGCCTTGAAACTATGAAGCACACAGACTTGTATTGTTTATTCACTATAGAACACCGCGGAGCGATATGCTTCAGCATTCACACATCTAATGCTCTGGTGGGGAGTTCCAGCCTTGTAAAGTCAATACTGGAAAATGCCTAGATCTATAAACCTGCCTGGTTATGTCAAGCAGACGTTGCATGGGCAGAAAGCCTACCTTACTGGGCTTTTTGTGAATCAGAGATGGAAATGTCAAACCTAATTCTAACAAACAATGATTACATTCATTGGTATTTTTTCATCTTGTTCTATCATGTTTTTGAATGAAAGTATTATTTCAACATTGCCTTACACCTGGAGTACTGGTGGTATGCAGAAGATTGTATTTAAAAACCAAAAACGTATTCTATTTCAAATTTTTTTTTTTTTTTAATAACATTTGTAAATAAGTGTAGTATTCATTGCTTTGCTATTTACATGGTACGTGACCATGCTAATGAATTATCAAGATACACCCATGACCCCTTGTAATTAACCACACGTTTCCCAACTAATTCAGTTAATCTAACTACTTTGGTGTAGTGGCCCGTAATAGATGCTATTGACCACTCTGCCACACGTGTTAAGAGTCTATCCCACAACCCCTGCATCTAGAAAGCTGTTTGTTAAAAAAACCTATGATTGATTGCAGGGTATCAAAGGGTACCTATGCATCAAATCCTTATACACTGCTCCTTGCTAGACTAGGCATACTGTACACTATTTCACAAAATATATTTTTGCCGATATGAAATCTGTAATGAAACACTGTACTAAACGCAAGTGGGTACCAAATCCTGACATAGTTTTCCTCCACACATATGCTAAATGGAAAGATTATCAGGTTTTTTTAACAGGAATAAAAGGAACATGGCAGATATTTTCCATCACATAGGAAATGTTATGTGTTAATTCAACAGTCTTTCTTCTTATCTAAGCATTCCTCTCCTAAACCCTAAATGATATAATTATTGCTACAGATGCTTCCGATTAGTTAAATAGAGTCAGTTTGTGTGGACCAAAACTCCAAAGCTGCCCATACACACCTATAGATTATCTGCAGATTTTCTTTGGCCAGATGGAAAAAGTGCAACATAGTCGTCCCTGAACCATCTGATTGGATGCAGGCATTGTTCAGGTATTTTGAGAGCCAGGGGGGCTGACTAGCAAGATACTGAAGCTTGGCCCAGTGGGAGATTCCTCCAGCCACAATTTAGCGTAGATGGAGGAATCTGTTGAACTTTTTCCATCTGACCATAGAAAATCTGCAGGTGTATGGCCAGCTTTAGGCACCTTAGAAAGGGAGATCTTTAAAAGGTAACAATGGTGTCACATCAAATTTTGGACACTCCGTGACTTAACTCCCTAATATAACTAAAGTTTGTATGTGGAGCATGGGCTACGAGGAGATTGTTCTCTTTTCTACTGTACAATGGAAAAGTTGTCGTAGAAATTTGACTTAAGAAAATCTTTGAAAAAAAAGTATTAGCTCGTGTGTGTTTTTATTTAGTAGTTTAAGAACTAAACTCAAAAAGCTTAGTATTTGTTTACATAATTAGGAATGCATTATGGCAGGGTGAGGGTGGGTAGTAGAGCTTATTAGAAAAAGCATAAAAACTTAAAGGGTGATGTATGAAGGAGATCCTGTGGCACTGTAATTTAGGCTTGAGGCTTAATTCCAGCTTTAAATAATGTGGCTCGTGAATCACAGATCTTCTTGTTATGGTGAACAGGTAAGCTTAAGCTGACTTAATAACTGTAACCATGTTGAGTTTAAGCTTTCTTGAATGCACTGTTCATTATCTGCAGGTGATACATGAACTGCATTGCTTTACATATCAAGCCATGCATGGCCAGATCTAGTTTGCTTTATTATCATTTGGAATAAGAACTGATCATCGCCCCAAATTAAAGCTATTAGCATGTGATGAATAACAATTCAGCTTTTGTAAATGGAAATCTGTTTGAGTTCAGTCAACTAGAATGCTTTAATAGAAAAGAAAGCTGTACAAGCAGGCGCACGGTGATCACTACTGAGTAAATAACATTTCAGCTTTGCATGTAGCTCTCATTTAAAATGCATATGCTTCTTGTTTATTTTACTTTGCGAAGGCTATACTGCGCTGCCAAAGAACACCAGCAGTGAAATTACTGTAGAACGGTGATGTACAATTTATTTTTAAAACCCTGACAAACATGTCTATTGAGCTTCCATACAGTGCAATGCAAACATCATTGATGATCATTAATGTGCAATAAACCATAACCAGCAGATCACATATTACCTTTTATCAGTTCAGAGCACTAAGAACAATGCAGAGTGATGTGTAATTGGTTGCTATGGGTTACTGCACTCTAATGTTAAGACTAATAACCTGTGGGTGTCTATATATGTGAATATGTGAAATCTAAACATTGCTATCTACGCAAGAAATGATAATGGGTTCAAATAAGCGTGGAGATAACTTTATCCACCAAATAAACTGGTGCAAGTGATGCAAGGCGCATAGCATGTTGCTTTATACAGAACTCAATAACTATCCTGCCACTTTAAAGAGAATTTGCCATCAATGTATGCACCTGTCTGAGAAGCCTTTGAAAGAAGAGACCAGTATCCAGCTCAAAAGATGTATACTAGATTCGGAGCAGTAAACACCTGTGGGGCATCATTACAAATGTGGTCACCAGTAAGCAGCCTGGGAGACGATGGCATCTTCTTAGACGGGAATTTAGCTTGAATACCCTTAGGAATACTCTTGAACCGATCTTAAAGTCTATACAATGTAAATATTAGAGGCAACTCTCCTTACACTGTGCTCCTGTGCAGACTAATAACTGCACATCTCAGCACTCAGGGTGGTTGACTTCAGCTTCATCTGTCTATACAATTGATTTAAACACAGCATGAAGGCATCTGGAATTCAGAATTGTAACTAAAGTATGCAGCACTGATCCATGCAACAATGTGCCACTGCTGGTCTCGAGCAATGTGCAAAGTGTGATAACCTATAGCAGCCAACAAGAATTGATATTTCAACTACAGAAAGCAGAAATCTATGGATTTGTATAATCATTATTGCTCTTTTCAGTCCTTTATGAAGGGTCTGATGTAAAAAAAAACGGTACTGATGTGAATATTTCTTGTTGCTCATAGCAACCAGAACCCTTGTTTCATATTTGGACCAGTACTGCATCACAAAGATTTGGAAGCCTATAGGTTGTCACGGGCGCCAAGAAATGTTATCTTACGGCAGACTTTTGATGCATCATCCCTTTAGCCTGAAAGCAAGAACATCTCACAAAGCATCACAAAACACCGATAGCGAAAAAAAGAAATAATCACACAGCCTATGGCCAGCTTAAAAGTTGACAGAAAGAACTTACCAAATGAAATCCGTGCAGTGGCTGCAGAAGGTCGGTTGCTTGAAGAATCTGGCAGTGAACTTGTGACTCTTGACCTCATGCACTAGTTTTTGCCTGAGAGCTCCTTTGCGGCAGAAGAGTGGCTTGACAAAAGGTTGCTCCATGTCGGTGCCGGTGCACACCTGAGCCATCTTGTCCAGCTCTTTAGTGCTACGACCCTGTGTGAGATTTCCAGATTCAACAAATGCCAGAGGAGGCAGTGAGCCTAGAATGTGAACACCTGGCAGAGAGAAAGCCAGTGGCAGCTCTTTAGATGCCTGTGAAAGTAAACAATGACAGAGGAGAGCGCTGCAGTTAGCTGTGACTCCCTCTCTGATGCTACTTGCAGGAACTGTAGGGCAGTCAGCACACACTAGAATACATGTGTGTATGTGGAGACAGACACTGGAGACTGCTATCTTAAGGAGCCTGAGAAATAAAAAGAGGGCAGTTCTTCAACATATCCTTCAAAAGGAGGGACTTTCCTATGTCTAATAAAGCAGAACAGGAGGAGTTTTCCCTTAAAGGAATAGATGATGAATGGGAATGGAAGGTTATGTAATAGTTAAATGCACAGCAATACCGAAGATTTCAGTTAAATCGACAATTTTGCTTTAATCTGTTTTACCCGGATTGTGTTGTTTACGCAACAGAAACACAAGAATGCCATCTGCTTTCCAATGACAGGGATTCTGGTCATCTCTGAATTTGGAATCTATTGCATGCATCATAGTCATTGCATTTTTAGATGTAGTAAGCAAGCCAAAAATAGCACGCTTGGCAAATCGCCCTGATTTTCAGGAAAAGATCTGGGGCTTCCTGTGTAAAAAATGAATGAAAGTGTTACCTGCAACAAGCAGAAACCACCTTTTAGTATTTTAGCGTAGGTTAAGGACTATAAATAGAAGGAAGTGACTAAGGTAACCAAACAGAAGGCAAATGGGTACTGCTTCTAGGGTTGCCACCTTTTCTTCAAGTAAAACCAGAACACTTTAGCGCTGCACGCAGCAATTTTCAGGTGGCTGTGCAGACTCTAAGGTGGGCTATGCGGGCTCTCAGGTGGCTGTGTAGGGTCTCAGGTGGGCTATGCAGGCTTTCAGGAGTGTTGTGTGGGCTGTGTGGTGTCTCACCAGGGGTGGGCAGCATGGTGTCAGGAAGACGGAGATGTTTACAGGCACCTGCGGCTTACAGGAAGGATGCCAAGGTCCCCAGCCAGCACAGGACCTCAGGCAGCCACAAATTTAAAGTTCCGGCACTTAGTGTCTTGTGTCCGGGTATCAGCTGGCCTGAAACCTGGACACGGGACTCAAAATGGGATTGTCCGGGTGAATCCCGGACAGGTGGCAACCCTAACTGCTTCTTGAAATGTAAAAGTTTCCGTTTCCTTCGGAATCAGCTTGTCCCCTGAGCACTGGCCCTGATATCCTGTGTTAGGGTGGCTCCTTTCCCTTGCAGGTTCCTATGAGATACCCTTTTGTGTGCTAATAAGCAGTGTGTGTCTCCACAAACACATAGCAAAAAGTATCCCAGCACACTCACCAGCCAGCATGCAAAAAAACTTGTCACCGCTAAGGTTAACCCAGGCGGCCGCTATGAGGCCCGTGCACAGGGGGGCCCGGCCAGGGCATCCCTCTGATGTCGTGTGGGCCGCTATGGCATGTAAGGGTGCTGGCTGTCACTGACACAGGTCAGCGGCTGTGAAGATCAGTGTCAGTGACAGCCAGCAGCTGCGGCAGAAGAGGCCGGCGTTCACAGTGAAGGAGGCGGGGCCCGCCTAAGAGCAACCCCGCCTCCTCTTACATCACTGGCCAGCGACCTAAGAGCAGGCAGGGGCCCGTCGATACAAGAGGAGGTGGGCCCGGGACGGAAGAGGAGGCAGGGCCCGGTGACCACGGAGGCGGACAGCACTGACAGGTGTGCAGCCCATCCGTGACCCTGCAGAGCCCACTATAGAGAGTCTCTGCAAGGTCACTCGCAGGCGGGCTGTTTGTTATATCAGGTGGGCTCTGCAAGTGGCATAACTAGCAATCACGGGGCCCCATACAAAAGTTTGCTATGGGGCCCTGTGATTTCCAGCTACGCCCCTGCGTGTATCTAAACCTCTGTTTTTAACCTTAGTGGTGAGACAAGTTTTTTTGCATGTGGTGAGTGTGCTGGGATACTTTTTGCTATTACTGTTTAAAGCCCTTCCATGTGCACCTTGCAGTAAAGCTGATAACAAATTGATGAGTGCGTTTGCCATTTGTTTTGCTCCACAAACACATAGGCACATCAATTAATAATAATTAATTTTAAATCTCAAGAATAAAACTATTCCTGGGGATCATGAAGCTCCTTGTTTAGGTACTTCCTGTTATGGGGGTGACAACTGTCTCCCAATTGTCTTCCTGTATTGCCACCCTGCCACATGCAGGCCTGGGGTGACTAAAAGTGGCTGTGCTGACACAAACTGTAGAGGAATCATCCACCCTTGTTACTACCAGGGTGCTGGTCGAAACCAATGATGTGCTGCCATAGCTGGATTGTGTGCACATGTAGACAGGGAGAGGCTGAAGTAGATCAGCAGGACTGAGGAAAAAAAAAAACAATAACAAAAAAACCAAACAACCACAAACAAACAAAAGGAAGGATCAAAACAAAATGAGCAGATCAGTTCGACAAAAGAAGCTCAGAGACTATTTCAAGCAACAGGCGTATTTGTATGCGCAATTCCGGGCATTTGCGTGAATGGGTATGTATGGGATTTTATTTGCAAGCGTGGGAAAAAAAAACGCATGACAAAATCGCCCTGGTGTGAACGGTGCCTCTAGGTCAGGTTATGGGTCAGGGACTTTAGGTCAGCACTTTTTTTTACTCCTATATTTGGCACAATAACCTACTTGCCAAGAACTACATAGTGCCAGGTTATTGGTGGCAAAAACAATATATCAATTTCATCAGATGTCAAATTTAATTTCAAATTTTTTTAAATCTCCACTAGATAACAAAAGACAGCTGAAATCGGATTATGTGTTATTCCTAAAACAAACAAAAAAAGGGTATAGTATCACAAACGCGTGTTTTTTTCTTTTTCTTTGGTAAACATCAACAGTGTGGACGATATCAGCCAAATTCCATCACACTCCTTGAGTGGATTGAAATCTAAAAAAGCACAAAAATCACAATCTACTGTACAAGCACATATTGGTACCTTATACAAAAAACACAGTTCCTGAAACCTTACATTCAGACATAAAGCCCTGTCAAGATATGGATTATACTCTCATGATAACCGAATAAAACAAAAAGAATTTGTCTTCTGTTAAGTATTAGGGTTAACATAAAAACAGCTGGGGGAAATGGTGAGCATAACTCGGTACTGGCATGCCGCAAAGGTTCATGTTTATATGGTAACTAAATGGTCAAAATACAGTTCTTTGGAAGCTGCATAAAACTCCAAATGTCTCAGTCTCCATAGTGACCAGGAGCTGCATACAGATACATCGTTCTGTCTCTGTCATTGGGTTAGCCCTGCTGATTGGCTGCCAGCAATGTTACTTGAATGATGTGCACTCACAAACAACTCATATCTGCTGGTAGAAAAACAAGGTGTTATTGGAAACAAGCTTGCACCACTTGTACTATTCTCCATCTAACTAGCACTGCAGTACAAGGCGATACACAAAGCAATTTATTCAGTATGATTAAATATTAACCCTCATCGGTAAAGAAAACAAACAGTATCCTGACCTTTTTTATTACAATACTGTGCCTTTATCATTCACGCTTTATCTTTAATAACTGAACTCCAGACAAACACAAACACACATATATGCATACACACATAGATATACACACACACTGTGAAGGTGCCCATATACCGGCCGATTATCGTACGATAATCGCAGGAAATCCCGAGATCGTACGATAACCGGCAGGTGTATGGAAGGCGTGCAACCGTTTCTACTGTACGGTCGCATAATCTGCAGGATTAGTCTCAGATGGAACATAATGCCATTGTTCAGGCTTGGAGGTCGCGATCTCGTTTGATTCCAATAAGTACCCAACCTAGATCAGTCTTTTGGGTATAAGGAGCATCATTCCAGCCATTGTGCTGCTGACGTACCTTGTGTACTCTCAGGATGTCTCTGTCTAAGAGAAGCATAATTCTGGCACCGTTGTCAAGTAGTGGGATGCAGTCAGCTAAATTAAATAGGTGAGGTCGAGAAAGTGCATCCTCTGGTGTAGGAATTTCCTCTCTGTCATTAGGCAACTGATTGAACTCAATGAGACCAGGAAGAGGAATCCACTCTGTTCCCTCTATAGGAGCAATAATGAAATCGGAAGCATAAGTTGTTCTTCCTGAAACTTCCACTGAACCAGCACAGGTGTGCAATGTATAGGATACCCTTCATTCTGAATAAGTCAAATAATTCTGACGTGGCAAGTAAGAGACTGCTTTAATCATCTAAGACTGCATACGTCTTAACTGCCTTTTCTGGTTGTCCTAGGCGAAACACCTTGACAAGAACTATTTTTGCAAGAGTCTTTCTCCTAAGTCTTTTGTGAAGTAGTTTACTACATTTTGATGCAACTGTTGCAGGTGGTTGCCCATGGCTCTCCCCACAGATTACAGTACATAAGGAGGAAACACTTGTTGTGGCTGGAGCATGACTTTGTTGCTCCCCGCCATGATTTGAGAGAGGGTTGGAGGTAGGAGGCTGCTGTGGATTGTCTGAA